ACGCCTGTTTGCTTCCCTCACGAATATTACCCTTGCACAGCCATGTGGGGCCACCGAATGTAGGTCAGTTCCTGATTTTCCATGGTTGAGATGGAGAGAAGAGGACCACAGGTACTGGTCAACTGGTTAATTCTGTTTGACACTTCTGCTGTGCTAAGAGATAGGAGGGGAGTATTTAGTTATACATTTCTCTTTCAAACTAGCTGGGATTCTCCTTGTAACTCTTTCACCAGCTGGTTTACTTGTGTCCTAGACCTCCTCAGTATTTAGGCAAACCACAACTGTAAGGTAGCCAATTTCCATCTGTCTTTGCAGGCAGTTCTGCCACTTCATAGAGCGGTAAAACATTTGTGATTGTCCAACAGCTTCTGGCTGCAGCTGTGGTTTTAGGGGACCTGGTACCAGTTGGAAAATGCTGCAGCCCCATCATGCAAAGCACTAAATCAGGCTGCTTAGGCTGTGTTCAAACTTTGTGCCCATTTATCTGCTCAGCTGTGTGCTGTGTCAGCTGTCTCCTGTCCTCTCAAAGCAGCTGCACCAATCAATATGGAAAGTCTAAGCCTGACTCAGTTGATAGAAATTTGAGATCCAGTTTGAATTTGGAAAGACCCTCCTGGTTTTAGAAAGTTTTTGTTTTGAGTTTGGCAAACAAGGAAGAACTGAGTTTCAGAGTTGAAAGTCATTGTGGCAATCATGGGGGGGGACCTGAGGTCCAGACTAAGCTTTTTCCAAAGGGTTAACCTCTAGATCTGCTTACTGCAAATGTGGGCCGATGAGCTGTGGTATTGACAGCATATCCTGAACACAGCATTGCTTCCCAGTTCTGGTGCTGCCAGTCTGACAGCACCTGACAAATTGTTGACTCTGCTAGTGGATGTTTAGAAAAAAACAACCCAAACAAACCAAAAAGCCCCAACAACCTCTTGCCCCAAGCATGGTGCGGTCTGGAGGTCAGTTTGTTTTTGTTTTCCCCAACCCCTGCTTTGCCAAGCTCTGGATTCAAACGTTAAAGGCCCTCAAACACAGCATGATAGACATGAATGCCATCACAGCAAATCTGAATTTTTTATTTTATTTGTGTTTTGCAGTTGTGACTGGGTATTCTCAGACTAACATGAAAAAGTAAGGAAGGTTTTTAGTGTGGCTCAACCAAAAACTATATCAAATGATGCTGCTTTTAAAGAAAACCATGCAAGGGAGAAGACATACATATTATAATTACCAACTCCTTCAGTGGGGTTCGTGGTCCATTTTTCCTTTCCATGTTACTAAGCTCTTCATGTATATCCGTATCTTCTGTCCTGACCAAGTTAACTCTTGAATCTAGTAAGAGATGAGTTTTCAAATTAGTTTTCAGACAAACTTGCATGCGGTTTGGTACCTTGTGAAACAGAAGATTTTTGTGCAGCCTGTCTTGGTATATGGGCAGATTTCTCTGAGGGAAAACCTTTGTTGTATACTTCAGTGGATGTTTTTATTTGTGGTAGAGGTTCCAGAATAAAGACTTGCAGGAAGAAAAAGAAGAGTACATATGATTGCAGTCTTGTGTTGTACATCCCCATCTCCGATGGTTTTTACCTTTATTTTTCTTTCAGTGAACTTTGAAATGCATTGTAACTTGTTTAAACAAAATAGGAGCTCCCTTGATAAAACAGAAAATGTGGTGTTAGTGGTCGTGAAAATGGAAAGTGTAAGAACTACCATGTGGTGTCAAAACATGCTCTCATCGCTTTGTGTCCTGTCCTGATGGTAGCAGATCTGGAAGAAGGTTTGTGTGTTGGAGAAAAAGCAGAGTGGCCTTACCCCACCTAGGAGATTTTTTTTCCTCTGAACTTGTACCTGGACTATCCCCTGCAGTAGGCTATTTGTCTAGATACTAATCTTATCTAAAGCATTGTAAACCCATGTCAGCTTTTGGCCTTCCTGGGTTAATCATATATGAGCACTGAAGATAATTTGGTACAGAAAGAGATGGATGTTAATCAGTATCCTGGTGGAAATTTCACTTCCAGCCTTTCCATGCAATCCAAGGCGGCGGATAATTCACTGTACTGTGTGTACCCAGCTGAAGTTGAATGAGTTTTATCTCTTCTTACCTCAGCATCTGATCAGTTAGATGTGTATCAGGGGGCTATAAAATATCTTGAGTCATTTTGTTTAGCTATGCTCAGTTGGTGGGGTAAGAGGTCTGATAAAGAGTGGTATCTTACAGATAAACTCATCTCCTGCTGCCTCAAGATTTCGATTTGACACTTCTGATTGCAGAATAAAAGTATTCTGAAAATATCTGATGATCAGCTGTGCCATTAAGTGCAAGTTTAATTGCCGAGTAGAAACAAGAAGAGTTTGGAAATTGGTCTGCTCGTTTTCCTTGGACCTCCCCCAACACTCGTGTGTGTGGTGTTTGTGTGTGTGTATGTGTGTGTACACAAACACATGCTCCCTCCCTCTGCAAAAAGTAGCACATGCAGCTACTTTTGCCTGTTAATTTGCAGTTGCTTGTTCGTCATCATCTGGGAACCCTCCTCCAAACACTATCGTTCTAGCTATTGTGTTTCAGCTCTCCAGAATTAGCACAAGGCACAGCTCATTTGCGTGCTGTCCTGGTGTAATTCTCAAGAACAATTCCTGAGGAATGATTGCATCTTCTTTGAGAAGACAGCAGCCTTACTGTTTTGCAATGAGAAGTAAAATAGGATTATATGGTCTTTTCTTTTGCATCAGTGGAGATGCTAGTTAATGCTAACTAAGAAGCTTATCGTGCCAGAATATCGTAAACCAGATCTCCTGAATGGCAGGTTTCCTGCTGGTGTAACTCTTACCCTGGTGGTTTATTGGCATGGCTGCATTTGTTAGGGAGGTGTAATTCTGCCCTTACCCTTTTCCTTTCCAATCTGAGATGATAAAGCTGCCAGACTAAACTACGCCTGTCTCCATCACTGATTTTCTTGGAGAATAAAGTATGTCTACATTGACAGAAAAAGGCAAATTCTTTTCTTTTATCTTTCTGTGCTTGAAAAAAAAATCCCTCGTGCCTCTACAGTAAAAGCAAACAAAACCCCTCCAAAAAAACCCCACCCCAAACACCCCACTGCCCCCAAAGCTTTAAGCAGTATCTGTCTCTTGCTCCTTTCTAACCTGTTCCTGTCACCTCTCAGACCTGCATAGGCAGCTTTGAGACGAATGTTCCCATGGAGAGTTGAGGCATGACGGATAACATCACAGTTACCTCTGCACAAACTCAGAAGCAGACAAAGTAATTTAAAGTTGCTGTTTGTGTCTGGAGATTTGTCCTTTTGAAGGGGAAGTCTGTGGTTGTTGTAAAGAGGGGAATGCCTTTTTTTCAGAACGGCATGTTGGTGAGGACTCAAACTAGTCGTCGTCTTCAGTCTTAAGTTCAAGTGAGAATTAATTATGCATCTTAATATTTACTTTAAGAATCAAGTCTTAATTAAACCCTTACTTGAATGCATTACTATCCCTTCCGTTAATTAAGAGAGCTTCAAGGGTATCTCAGTGCCCACGTAGTATTTCTTATGTATGTGTATTTTCTCTCTTGAATCGCTTTGAAAGATGACTATCTCTGTCACCTCAAGTAACCAGAATTTTCTAGCAAATGGGCAATTAACATCTATTAAGAGGTTCTGAAATATTAGTGCTCTGTAATTTTTCAAACAGTCCTAAATTGCCCCTAGCAGAAGGGTCTTTGTCAAGTTTCATTATTATTGCAATTACAGTAGACATTCAAGCTGCTGGCATTTTCCTGAGCAGCATTTTGGAAGGGAAGCTTAAGAAAAAACCCAAACTCTACTTTTTTACTTTCTAATATATACATAACTTTTTTTTTTAATGTCCATTAGCTGCAATAACCTCTAGCAATTAAGTTGAAGATGTCATTAATTTGGTTTTGAAGTAACATCAGGGTGCAGTGGGTTTTGGTGCTTGAATGTGTTCCTGGCTTTGCAGAAAATTTCACCTGATACCATTTTTCTGGTTCTATCATGTAATTTCATCTGTAGCTTAGCTGGTGCATCCGCAGCTGTCTGCAGCTGCACTTTCTTTTTGAAGCTCAGGAACCACAGGTGGCCAAACTGGATTTGTTGCAGAGTTTTCTATGCTGCCCTGTGGGAAGTTTAGGTTCAAATCTGTTCATTCATGTTCCTTAGTCTTGGAAATAACAAAAGTGTGGCTGACTGTGGACTGGCGGGTCTAATTTAAGGAGCAAATGTGGGAAAACTACACTGTAGTGCTGGGAAGAGAGAACCAGTAGGCTGTAGGATCTTTCCTATTCCTGTGCCAAAATAGTAGCGATACTAATTAAAATGCAGTTTTATCCTGAAGCAGTTGCTTCAGCAGCGTCAGGCAGATTCCTTTGAATGTCCCTTGCCCAGCTGGGATAATTACCCTGGGGTAAGGGAGCTCTGCAGAAAGGGCTGTCTCTGTCTGTCTGCAGTGGGCTTACTGACAGGCGGGTGTGCTTCACTGTCCATCTAGTCTAAGCTTTCTGAATGCTTTTTATTTAAAAATAAGTTGTTTTAAAGGGAAGTATTTAGTTATACAGAGGTGAACTTATGAGTAGGTCTACAAATTTACGCTCGTTGAAGAAGCACGAGTATTGTTTGCAGTGGACGTCCAATAGCAAGCTGTTCTACATCGCTACATAGCTGCAGTCCAGGTGTACTTTGTTCCCAAAAAGTTCTATGGAAGTAAGTGCGAAATTGAAACAAAACCGAGGTTTCAATATACTACTAATAATAGAAGACCACAAGAGAAGAATGAAAGAATAATCACAGTATTCTCATCCTGAAAGAACTTAACATACCATCAGATTTGTCTTTAAATGGTAATCTACTAATTATCAAATCAAAAGGGAATGATAAGAGTTGGTGAGTCATGAGCATGAAAGGAAACCAAGGCTGCAGGGCATGTGTGTTTGTACATATATCTTAAGTAATCAAGAAAAAATTAATTTCTTCAACTCTAGGTGCCATTGATGCCAACAATACTTAAAAAAGCAACGCCGATGTCCCAGCTGGATTACTGAGCCCTTTTGTGATTCCTGGAGGTGTTTAAATAAGAAATTGTCCTCAGTACTTGGTCTGTCATCCCAGAAGCATCCGCTTGGGTACTGTATGCAAGTCCTCGACATTCTGGAAACGATGGGGATTGGTAAGAATACCACTTCGAAATCAGTGGAGGCGGGAGGCTCCACAGAAGGCAAATACGAGGACGAATCTAAGCATCCCACCTTTTTCACCCTGCCTGTAAGTAACACATTGAGGTACTACAGAGTCAGTGTGAATCAGTTAATAATGCTTTGTTCTCGTCACGTTATACACAACCTTTGTTTGCACAAGTAGCGAGTAAAACCTCTTTTGCCACTTGTTACTGTTTGTATATGAACACGGCCAATTATGTTGTCTGTCGTTACTTCATGCTGTGCTCTAAAGCAGAGCTGTTCACAGGACATGCAACACCCCAGGTAGCCCATGATTAGAACAATTAACTGTCCTGCTGCAGAATGCACCAGCCCTTGGTGTGTCCTGAGTTGCCTGCCTAAGACTAGCAGGAAACATTTGCTTGTCGTCTTTTACTTCTTCAGATTTTCAGTGTATCATTCTGTTGTACGTGTCTGCCAGTCAGTCAGCTGCTGGTTTCCCCCACCCTCCGTTGGCTGCCCAGGCTTTGAGAAGCTGTATGTGATGTCTTTCAAGTTTCTGTGTATTCTCGGCATGCTGTTACAGAAATGACTGCTCACCATGCTCATAACGTTTCCTGACAAAATGTCAAAGGCAGATGTCAAGCGCAGAGGGAGAAAACTGAGTGGCGTGGGGTGTGATTGCAGAGAAAATGTTTTAAGACCGTGTGTTTCTTTTTCTGTTTTATTTTTAAGGTCGTGATAAATGGTGGAGCAACATCCAGCGGTGATCAGGATACAGAAGACACAGAGTTGATGGCCATCTATACCACAGAAAATGGCATAGCAGAAAAGGTATGTAGTGGTTCCTTCTCGGTGAGGGCTTACACGGGCTTTCTCAGTTCTATTATTTGTCCACACTAGTTTTACTTGGCTGAGAGATTTTCCTTCTCTAATCAAACATGCTGACTTGCAGATTCAGATCAGGCTCAGGGGAGTTCTGTCCTCATGACTCTTCTGGTCACACATTTTGGTTGCAGAACACGTGGAATGACTCGGCAAATATCAGAAGCAGTTAATGCACTTTGACCTGGCACCGAAATTCATAATACGCAATTTTTTGATTTCTTCATTTCCACTGGCCTTTTGCATGGTTTCCTTCGTAAGGTCATTCCGTTCTCTTCTTCAGTTCTTCACTTGTTGTGCATTTAGTCAGGTAAACTGGTGGTGTTGGGCACCTTCAAAAGTGGGATCTTCCCACTGTCTTTCCAAGTTTCTTCCACCTCAAACTTAATTTTTCTAGTCCTTTTTCCAAGTAGGGGGCTGCTTATTATTATTGAGTGACAGCTTTGTGAGTGAATCTCAGGTCATTCGTAAAAACCCTTGAACGTTTTTGCTTAGGATAACGACGATTGTATCTTAGCTATTCAGGAAGACCCAGCTGAGGTTTCAAAGGAGACCAATTTGGTTGTGATTTTTCTAGCTTTTTTTCTCAATTCCATCATTCTCCAAGCCTGTTCAATAATAATCTTGCAAGCAGAGATGGTGTGAATCTGAGCTTTTGTTTAAAATAAGGAAGAGGATTACAGTAAATCTGAAGAGCACCTTTTCCTGAAATTTTTATATCTAATTGGCTTTGTGGTTAAGCCCTATCTCCAGAAAGCCTCAATGTGACCAAATTTTTCAAATGTCCTAATTGAAACAAGAACAAAACTCTCTTGTTTTCAAGTACGAGCATCATGATGCTCTTTTCTTTGAGGCTGTAACATCCTTGTTGGGGCAAGGATGATGTCAAAGGGTGTAGTTAAGGTCTTCTAGTTCAGACATCAAAATTCACTTCTGAATTTCAGATTTAAAATACACCCTAAACAGGTGATTCTGATGTTATGAATGCCACGATGTTCCTTCACGTACTCTCTCTTACAGATAAGCTGCCTGCATGTCTCGGATACATCTCTACTACCATCTTGATCATGCTGATATTTTAATGGACAAATTTTGGCAACTGTTGACGTGCATATGTCTGTGATGGCTGAGTTTCTGAGCATGCTCAGACTAGTGTGGAGAGAGACAATCTGATAAAAGCCTTGAGCAAAAGGTGTTGGGATGAAATTGTGCAACTAAGATAAGCGATCTCTAGACATTAAAGCATGTCTTCATGGCCTGTTTTTACCAAACATATATTTTTCTCCCTTCCACTTGATCCATGTGATCAGAACTGTAAATGATGGATGATAATTCACCTTAAAGAGAGCATAAGCTTTTGATCAACCAAATCTGCTTGAGTTAAAGCTTTGCTGTGGCTTACAATGAAAGGAGGGGCTGTAGCCATTAACAGCTTTGTGTATTAAGATGGTATTTGAGGCTGATATTTCTGGTAAGCTGAGCAAACCTCCTGATTTTCACTTAAAATGAGTGTGTGCACGAAGCATGTTTGTTCTTGGCTTTCCATTCCTCTTGAGAGATCAATCACCAAAAAAACCCAAATCAAAGACCTTGGATAAAAAGCCTTTAAGAAAGAGGACTGAAATGTACTTAATTGCTGGAGGATGCCCAATGCTTACATTGTCTCGCAGTATTTGTTAGCCGAACCAATAAACAATTAGCCCAGATGAGAAAGAACTGTGTTGCTGCATCCCTATAAAATAAACAATACTGTGTTGCTTATTGCTTAGTAGAATGAATTTGAGCATGTTGTAAACTCTTTAAGGTATTTCTCTAAAGGCCTTGTTCCCCGCAGTTAATGAGTTTTCTTTTGAAAAGTAGTTGTTGGTGGTTGCTTCTTTGGATTTTGGTGTGGGTTTGCTGTTTTGGAGCCCCCTGCCCAACGTTTTTGCTCCACCTTTGTCTCATTTTCCCCCCCTTGTTTATACTTATTCTGTGCTTTTTTCTTTTTTGTGTTGTGTCCCACCTCTGGCCAATTAAAAATAATAATCAAAAAAAGAATTGGTCTCTGATCAGTATCTCATTCAGAACGGTGCAGTTCATTCCCAGCGGTTCCCTACAGCACACTGTGGCGTACTTGACAAGCACCAGCGCATAGTCAGGGTATTAAACCAGCAGGCACACGCTCGGGGTAGGAAGGGGCCAGTGACTACCCAGTGACTTCTCAGCAGGATAGCCAGACCTCACCCTGGTTCTCAAATTCCTCATTGTTCAGTCTTGGTCTCTTTTATGTTGGTTCCCTTTAGCCATTATCTGCTAAAGGTTTGATCAAGGTGAAAGCTTCCTCTTCCAAAGCAGACTAAGTCTGGCTTTTGGAAGGAATGAGACGTATCCTGGATTTTTTTTTTTTTATCCTACCACTTTGCTGTGTAGGACAGACATTTCTAAGACGATTAAGCCTTAAAGTTTGAAATTCTTTTGGTAGAAGGCCTGTGTACTTCACTTTCTCAAGGAGATCTTAAGTTGGTTAGCAGTTGTTGATCTGTGCCCAAAGAGAGCTTTCTGCATGCCGTGGACGAGTTGGCTTGTTCCTAGGCCTGATGCCTGCTGATCTTTTTTGTTCTTCGCAGGCAAATGTAGGCATAAATGTCATCACAAGTGAAAAGTTCTGGAAGGACTAATAAACTTGCTGCATGTGCCATGGTCTTTCTGGTAGAAACAGGTCATCGTTTCTGATTTCTGCTGCCCGAAGAAGGGAAGAGCAGGTTGAGAAGTTAAGGAATGTACTTGATGCAACCTCATCAGTCCTATGAAGAAAAATTAGTGTTCAACACTTAAGTGGAACAGTTAGGTAGCTACTGAATATTGGTCTGGCAAAGTTAGAAAAGCAGCCAAAAGATGGCTTTTCAAAAGGCAGGGGCCAAAAGGGAGTGACCAATCTGCACAAATCACTTACTGAATTTTTAGAAGACCTGGTATCCTGCATGGGAACATCATGAACTTTGAAAATCCTGTTTCTGTCCGTGCTTGGAATACTCCTTCCAAGTTCCTCCTTCCAGTGCAGGTTGCTCAGTGCACAGTGGTAGGTGTTTTATCTTTCCACACTGCAGTCAGGTGGGGAACTATCCCCACTTTGTTCTCCTAAACCTGTGCTGCTATTTGGGTGGCTTCAGCAAGCCAAGGTTGGCGTGATGCCTGAAGCAAACAATCTCTGCTGATACCTCTCTGTTCCTACCTCACGACGATTCTTACTCTTCCTTCATGACCTCTGCCTCTCTGAAAGTGTATGATGACCTCTTAGTTAAAGTGTTGACTAAACAGGCACTATCACTGGTGAGCAAAGGTCTCAGGTGGACCGAATGTTGCAGTGAAATAGAGGAGAGGTGAGGCAATCATACACACATTTTTATATACGTGTATGTGTGTGTGTTTGTATAGTCTCTGGGGAAAGGTTAACAAAACCGCTTTATGACGACAGAAAGTATCACAGGAGCTTCTCTGGGTGAATCTTTGTTTTCCTGAGAAAGTTCTTAGAAGCAGCCTCTAGTGATGATAAGTGTCCTGCTGTTTGTCCGTAACTATGCTGGCTGTTGACTCTTCCTCCTTCTGCGGGTCTTCATGCGTCGGCCACTTTGCGTCCTGCCTTGGACCTACACGTAATTGCACTGGCATGAGGTTGTACACCGTTTTTCCTGAGTTCTGGTTAGAGACAAGCTGTTTTACTCCTGCTCAGTGCCCTCTCTCCCGTATGAGGTGAGGTGCTAAAACTCAAGTTCCTGATTTTTTTTAATTTGCAGGGGTTTATTTTTTAGAGGATCAGGTCAGGAGAGCAGTCAGTGAGAAAAATTGCATTGATGCTGCAGATCAGCAAGATGAGTTGTGCAGTGAATAATTTCCCATATTCCTCTTTGTAGGACCTGTACCTTGTTTAAACTAACCCTGGTGAGCAGATTGCTCAGTGCTTAATGTCATTTAAAAGAGTTTTCAGAAATTAGTGTTTCTATATTTTGCTTTTCCACTGTGATGCCTTTGACCTTTCCGTAGTGGTGTGGTCATTTATACTCCTGGAATTTGAATTAACTCAGTGGCATTAGTTTTCCCAACAGAAATCTGAGGTAAGAGGGAAATACCATGGGTCAGTTTGGCTTCTCTGACCTTGTAGCTGATAAACCAAATGGAGATTATTTAAGCATAATCTGTGGATGTGTTGTGATTTTTGAAGAAGTAAAGACTATTTGAGGCAGAGTCACGAGTCTGGCAAAGTTCCCGGTCTTTGTGTAAGGCTCTTCACATGAGTTTGTTATGTTCTAGTGTGGATTAGGTCAGAACGGTAGTTATATAAGGTATTTTTCGGTTAGTTGAGTGAAATGATAAAATCTGATACTTCCTCCTGCTTTTGTTCTTGGTATTTGGGCTTTGGAGCATTATGTTTTTGTTCTCAGGAATTTCAAAACCAGAGAGTTTGAACAAAACAGTTCCACTTAGTCGTAAAGAAGAAACGGTTGAACTGAATTTTATTTTAATGGGAAATCTGCAGGGATTTTGATGCGTGTATATGTGTGGTCAGCTGTCTGTTAGCTCTCTGTGAATTAGGGCACACGGCAGGCCAGAATGTGGTCTCGCTTAAATTCCTGTAGGTTTAGAGGAAGTCTGCTTGCCTAATATAAATTGGCCCTGGATGTATTCAGTGAGAATGATTAGCATTTTTCTTGTCTGCTTCAATGTGGGGTCGAAACAAAAATAATAAATCTTGTGGTTAAAAAAGGTTAACCAAGACTGAAATTGAGTAAGAATTAAGTGGGGAAGCAATTACCGTAATGAGGAGCTCTCTTGCCTGTGATTTTTGGTCTCTTACGCAAGGATAGCCATTCTGCTTTAGAAATTGTTGACTCTTCCACTTAGTTCCGATTCTTCCTTTTTTTCTTTTCCTTTTTTAATAAATAGTTCTGTCAGGATAATCCCATTTTTGGGGCTGCCAGATCACTTCTGTCCTAAACAAACAATTGTTGGGTTAGTATAGATAAGCAAGGAACGGGTTATAGAAGTGAATGTGGTCGGCACAAGTTCAGTAGCTGCAGCTGGAGATGAGCTTGTTGTCAGGGGTAAAAGGCTTTAAAAATGTAACGTGAGCATTGCTGGGGAGTATTGTACCAGCCTTGGAGTATCTGGGAATTGCCTGGTAGTTCAAATTCAGTTTATTCATTTGTAACAGTGACCTACTGTTGTTGTTTGTGTCCTCCCCCACTTTTTTACCCTCCTCACCTTTCTACCCTTCCTATCAAATAGAGCTCTTTGGCAGAGACGCTGGACAGCAGTGGCAGTTTAGATGCACAGAGAACTGACATGATCTACACTATCGAAGATGTTCCTCCTTGGTATCTCTGCATATTTTTGGGGTTACAGGTATGTTTCAAAACAGCTATCATATTTTTTTTCCTCTGTAACTTCTAAAGCTTGTTTAGCGTTTTCTGTGTAGTTCATTGCATTTGTGTGTGTGGTAATTTTAGTCTTCCCACACTCACACGTTTGAAGGAAGTGTTAAGATAGTTTCTTATGAATTTGATCACAAAGATTACTGTGTTGATAATGATCTATATTATTGTTTGCTGGCATATGCACTTGTGAGATTCACTTCAATGTTTAGTCTCCTAAGCTGCTGTTAGCAAATAAGTGAGCAAATGCTAAGCACTTCAGAAAGTGACGTCTGGCACCTCTGAAAGTAAAGATGGAGAGAGATAATGGTTTAGTCCTAAAATCTTGAATATTAAAGCTGCTACTGTAGTCATTTCAGTTCTGCAAGCTTGATAGCATCGTCCTGCACCTGTAGTCTTGCTGGTAAGTGGGGCAGGAAAATTCTGCACTCCTTGGAGTGCGAGTGTGTGCTTCCTGCCATGGGTAAGGACTGTAGTGGTGAGCTGGACCTTACTGCCAGCTCAGGCGCTCCTTGTGTGAAGCGGAACAGCTCGTTTCATCTCTTTTCTTTCTCAAATGGTAATAATATCTGTCCCATGGGAATGCTGAGAATTTGTTAATATCTGTAAAGTATGTTGGGATCTCCAAACAAATACATTCCAGAGCCTCCTTTTTATTTCTGCCTTTCCTCAAGGACAGGCAGTTCTGTAGGGATTATATTTTTACTTGCACTGTTGAATATGGTGACTCTTGTTTGTTTGTTTGTTTAATGTATTTGGATTGAAAAAAGAATTAATGAGTACCTAGTTTGTGGTACTTGGGAGCTTATTTGCGGCCTAGTCTGTCTGTGCTCTAAGTTCATTTGTAAGCTAATGTTTTTTCACATGGTTGAAAGTGAATGGAGTTATTTAGCTGCTTTTCTGAGTTAGAAGCTGTTTTCAGCACAGTTACCTAGATACCTCCTCATCAAGAACAGTAGCCGTGTAGCTATGTAAATAACCTAGTTTATCCTACAGAAATAGCCATCGTTAGCAACAGGCTTGTGGTAGCTTGACGTGGAGGGAAAACCCTTGAAGAAATGCTTAGGACCAGGAAGTGAGAGCTCTGAATAATTCAAAAGCAAAAAATAGCCAATGCAAGAGAAAAGATAGTCCTAGGTCTATTTACTTAATATTGGCTGCAGTATTAACAGACCGTTTTTCTCTTCACAGCATTACTTAACATGTTTCAGTGGAACTATAGCAGTGCCCTTTTTGCTAGCTGATGCCATGTGTGTTGGATTTGACCAGTGGGCTACCAGCCAGTTGATTGGGACCATTTTCTTCTGCGTGGGCATCACTACATTGTTACAAACAACTTTTGGGTGCAGGTGAGATTTAGGACTTGTTTCTAGGTGTTGAGATGGTGATAAGACTACATTTCCAGGATGCAGTCTGAGATCCAAGAGGGGGAGGTAGTCTGTTTTCAAAGGATAAACATGAAACGCAAGATAGCAGGTCAAATACAGGACAGTTAGGGAAAGCTTTTGGAAAGCTGCTCCCAAAAAAAGGTGGATCTGAAATGAGAGAAGGCATTCAAAGGGTAAGAAAATACAGCAGGGACAGGGAGAGGGAAGGAGGAGGAGGGAAATCCATGAGGACAGAGAAAGTAAAGTGTTTCTGGGGAAAGGAAAAATTCACACACCTTGGTAAAGGGGAACTAATTTTGATATTTTTATTAGTTGCTTTAATGATACTATATTCTGGCCAACATTTAGATGGTTGTCATTAATCCTGCAGCAAATTTTGTGCCTGTTCCTATAAGGTTTTTGTCAAATTAAAAAGGTAGGGAAGAATGATGGGGGTAACTTTTTATTCTCTGAACTGCGTGTCTCTGGTACCTTTCAATACAAATAAAAAAAATTGGTTTTATTTGTTATTTGCTCTGAGTTGCAGGTAATGATCCTCCTGTGAGCTGAGAAGAAACACACCTGTTAGTGTAGCCTTACAGGGGTGCCTGTACCTCTCCTTTGGTCTGCTCTCCTTAGGAGGATGCAAGAGACCAAGTGTTAGCAAATACTTGTAAAAATGTGGTCTTGGTAGGAACAGGATGTTGAAAGTTTTATTAACATGAAGATAAATCTTTTTAAAAAAATGTATGTTGTACAGAAAACACTGCAGAGATGTTTGACATGTTTACTTAAACTTTTGTTGACTCTGTGAGAACCAGGAATGACTAAAACCTGCAGAGTTATTTCTGCATCTTCTTGAATAAACCAAGAGTGATAAGTAAAACCAGAAGAAAAGTGCATATTTTAAGAGTATGCCCTCATATGGTTACTTGAATAATTCATGGATCGTTTAGTTCAATTTAAGAACAATATGAGCTGAAATCTTGCATTCCAGTAGAAAGTGGACAAGTACACCCCCACCCCTATTTTTAAAGATTTATCTAAGAAACAGAATCTTGGGGTGGAATAGTTATCTCAACAGGGTGCAGAAGGCAAGCCTGTGGTAGACCACTTGCAATTGTAGATCAGCTTTTCATCTAAAAATTTTCCAAATATTTCAGGTTTTCCAATGTAATCTTTAGTTGCTGTTTCAGTTAGCTTGAGTTCGCTTTCTTGTCTTTTTTTCCTTTGAGAAAAACCTTCTCTTTATTTTTTTATTGTGCCTTACTCAACTTACAAAATCGCTCCGCTGTTTTGTATGAAAAGTTCATTCTGGTGATAAAACGGCATAAACAAAGTTTTGAAAGAGAAAATTTTCTTTTCCTATTGTATTTTGTTTTAGCTAAGACTGCCTGCAGTTAACAATCATATTCTCTGCCTGACTGGCGTTTTGTGTTCATAGGGTAGTTTGCCTTAGCTGTGATCATAAATTTTCAAGTACCTTGTCTGAAAGGAGGCAAAGGAGCAGAGTTGTGCCCTTTAGGGTTTTGCACCTCTCTTTTAATGGGAGAGATGTATCACCTCCCCCCATCTTCTATTTGCACTTTATATAGGAAATTGAGGGATTGTTGACCTAGGCAGGAACTGGATGATAACGTCTTTTATCACTCGGCTTTGAGTGTCTCCTCCCTGGATTTACTGAAGTTTAAAATCTTCCAGTTTTGTAAGAAGTGCAGAGTTGTGGATGGAGATGAACTCAAAAGGGAGGTTTGTTTTCCTGTACTTCTGCCAGCGTGCTGCTTCTGCCTCAAAATTGATCAGAAAAAGCGTAGGTTTTATGCTTCCTGAGACTTGTATTTCTTCGCAAAACTAAAGTTTGTCCTATTTTGGTTTTTTCCCTAACTAATCTTGAGCTCTTTTCTCTTTATTAATTACTATAGAGTAGTTTTGGGCTCTTGCCAAAACCAGTGGGACCCCGTCATTTCGAAACGCTCTGTTCTTTCTGGAGAATCCCCCCTCTGCCCTCTATGGTGGTGGTTGGGTTTTTTTGTTCCTTTTCAGTGGCTTCTACTTGCCCTGTGAAGTACATGTTTATATACTGAAGAGGAATTGTGTTTGGGTCTTAAAATAAGTGAACTTGTATTTAAGGAGAAAATATCCACGGTTGAATGTTTTATAAGTATTTAACATGTGATTCTGGTTTTGTGTAAGGGTGGGAGTGGGATATAGCAGCGATGTTCTCTAAATGAGATTTTAAAGTATTTATTGGCAAGTCTGCCAGCTGCCAAGTATTTCAGCAGATAAAGCCACTACGGTTTTGAAAGGTCAAATTCCATGGTTTAAAGGTCCTTAAAGATAGATTTAGCTCAATTATGAGGTGGAGTTGTGGTCAATTTGGTACCCATACTAATTTTAGGAATTCAAGCTATTTATTAGATTATGTAATAAGCCAAAAGATTTGGCAAGGATTCGGAGTGATAACTATGACTGAGACAATCAAAAACATTTTAGGTTTGTTGCTGTGCCCATTGTCATGTTGTCTAAGCATTCTTCCATCTGTGTGACCTGTTAAGATAATGAAGACATTTCCAGATGACTTTAACTGCATAAAAAGCTCTGTCTCCACGAGGGCTGGTGCCAAAATTGAACAACTTCACAGTTTAGACATGAAATTAAAATGTTATCCCAGTCGTAAGCTGGTGGTACTTTATCCAGCTAGTAATGAATGCCTGGCTTGGCAATAGGAAAGATATTTCATAAGTCATGTTCCAAACTGAGCTGTCTCTTCAGAAAGAGATTGATCTTTTTGAATCTTAAGTTTAAAAAAAAACAAAACGAAACACCTTTTCTTTTTCTGCTTAGGGGGGAAAAAAAAAAGCAGCAGTATTTTGAGCCTACTGGCTCTTTTGGTAAATACTCCAGGGTAACTGTCTCATACAGAGGTTGAGCGGATAGCTAAGCAAGACGTGCCAAGACCTTACTATGCAGTGTGTATGCAGGGTATTTTATGTGATACAGAACTCTCAGAGTCTGGACCTAAGTCCCAGTACCACTGACTTCATCACCAGAGAATGTGTTTGCAATGTGTACTTACAAAATCATCGGGGGCAGACGGAGTACTGCGTAGGTGGGATAGAGCAGTAACAGCTTGTTGCAGGTATTGCATATTTTGCCATGGGCACCAGCTTGCTCAGTTTGCTTAATGAACCTTGAAAAATAAGGTGAATCATTCACTCATAGCTACCAACCGTTTCTTCACCAAAGATAAAGCTTTGATTTTTGCTTGGAGAAACGTAGAAGGGAATTGCATGCCAGTTAGGTGTGCTCAGATGCCTCATGTATCTAATGAAGTTGGACTTTCTAAGGCAGTTTTCAGCGTTCGTAGTGGGTGGGTCAGCTTTTTAGCTCATGGCCCAAACTCCTTTCCAATGGTAGTTCAACTGTTCTAACTTCCTGCCTGTGAAGTTTACAACTGCTATTAGTAACAGGCTTCTGGTTTGATATTTTTCATGTTAAGTGTGTTTTTCTTTTCCTCCACAGTTTCTGATTTGGTTTTGTGGGGTTTTTTCCTTTCTTTGTGACTTTTCTGATCTTTACCTGAATCTGCTACAGTTAGTTCTTTACTGGTGTTTGTGCTGGCATCGAGGCACTTCATTGTGGCTATAAGACAGCCATAAATGCGGTGCAGTAACTAGAGCTGTGTGAGCAATTAATGTTCCACCTGTTACAGTTTGAGATCTGCCATTAAAGAGAAGCTTGTTATAATCCATTAATGACGGTATTTATAGAATAGTTCAAAGTGCATCTTCTCTGTAGGCAGGAAACATCTGGATGTTTGTGATGATGTTATGCAAGCTACAGTTGATTCAATAAATATGTAGTTGGTGCTGATAGATGCTCTTTTAGGTCTTAAACCTTTTGGGAAGTGTAAACACCAGTGCTAAGAATGTAATCTTGAAATTCTTGCAGTGTTTGTGTTTATTGTTGTTAGCCACCTGGAACATCTAATCAGCTCTTATCAGCTTAATAGTTATTTACACATGTACTCCAAGATGAATGTGTGAATGACTGTACTTCAAGTCATGCAGAGGGAAAGTACTGAGTATGCAGACTGCGCACTGCTCCATCAAGGAGCTTTTTTAATGTGGTGGGGTGGTAAAAGCTGCACATTCAGCAGTCTGGCTGGTACTTACATCAGAACGTGCATCTGTGTCCTTGTTGTGCTGCTGAGTCAAACCCTTAAGTCAACGTCTGGTACCTGCGTGCTGGTATCCCGCAATTCTCTGTTATAGGGGTTGTGTTAGGAACTTCATGCATGTAGTGTCTTCTGTCCGGTCTTTGGTTTGTGAAGTCTTGGTATTTCTATGGCTGTTCTTAATAAGAAGTTCTCGTATTTCACATTTTTAATAAGCTCCAATAAAGGATGGTTTTGAGGATGTATAACCGCCTAGCTGCAATTGATATCCCGACACAGCACTGTAACACCGAGAAACGTCAGCATCTCTTCTTTGCCTTTCCACCAGGTTACCCTTGTTTCAGGCGAGTGCTTTTGCATTCTTAGCACCTGCTAGAGCAATACTCTCCCTGGAGAAGTGGAAATGTAATAATACAGGTAAATGTTGTTTATGCTTGTTCAGGTTTAAGTGACAAATGACCCAGATCACGTATAGTGCAACTGCCAAACCTTTTGATACAGCAACGGGAAGTCATGAGCGGGGAGTATGAAAAATTCCCTCTTCTACAATGTTAAAACTTTGTGCCTTGGAAAAAGATTCCTAAAAATGCCCTTGTGGAATTCTGTTTCTGGGGTTTTTAAATATAAAAAACGTTGACAAAAGAAACGCACCGGTAGCATAAAACAGCTCTTTTGTTAACAATGTAGAGAAAGGCAGAAGAATTCTGTAAATGTTCCTTTCCAGTATTTGGAAATAGTGAGTTCAATCGAGTCTTCGTAAGTTGAGCAGCAGGAAGTTTGAGCAATGTTCAGCATCACCTCAAGACCAGTATTTTTACCTGTTTAACTCGTACCTGATAGGCTTTGCAGAGCAAGTTTTTGACAGTATTGGGATGTTTGTTTTAACTTTTACTTTGCTAATGTCATCATCCTGAAAGGTTTTGAATTTATTTAGAGTGACAGCGTGCAGTGAAACTGGTCAGGTAGGAGGCTTTTGCTTTAGCTTAGGTTAGAAAACTGAAGTGGAAAGAGCTCTGGCAGTTTTGTTTTAATGGAGCGTGGTTATTCAGTAGTAAGGCTGTGGGCAGTGCAAGGCAGCAGGATAGAGAAGCAGGCTGCTTGCTTCTAACTGAGGTTCTTCCCAGGGGTGCTTTTGATTCTCTAATAATTTATATTTGTATTATTCATGTGTTGATACATCTCTTCTGATTCACTCACGACCATCCAATTAGTTTTCCTGATGTTTTTTCAGTCGAAAACTTAGCTTTGAACGTTCACACTTTCTCACTGGGGGAGTCAGATTTAGCTACTGGGAAATAGCACGTGGGTTTCAGTGCCCAAGAGGTGAAGGCAAACTGTGGTGTGCTTTGGTGGTGCTAGCTGTGTGGGCTATTTCTGTGCACCAGAATGTGCCAGCATCCTAATACACACCTTGTCAAAAGAAAATACTCTGACAACCTTTGATGGCAAAGCAATTTTTTCCACTATTTCAGCTTTTCAAAAAGAGCCTTTCCTGCATCTTGCTCTGGAACCTTTTGACCTTCAAAAGGTGTCAGATGGGGTTGTAACCACGGGTCAGCTCATCATTCAGTGAGTGACCTGAATTGATGAACAGCAAACGTTGGAGTACTTGGTTCCTAGTGTGTAGTTGAGTAATTCTCCCCATTCATCTGTTCGCTGGAGTGGGAAAAGAATACCCAGCTGACCTTTCTTTGTGAAAGTTAACAATTTTTTCCAGTTTAGTACACTGGGTAAAATTAGTGGTTAGCTCTTGGGGAGCGTAAGCATGCTATTACTTGTTTTGTAGAACTTTTATTCTGTGTAAATCAAGGCTCATTTGTCAGACACAGCTTAAGGAGAGATTTATTTTGTATTAAATGATGGCAAAGTGGCTGAGGAATAAATACCTGTGTTTTTTCTTTTCTTCTTTTTGTTAAGATATAACAGTTACAAACGGAACAACAGAACTGCTTCACACTGAGCACATCTGGTATCCCAGAATACGAGAGGTAATGTAGGAGTAGCCTTTAGCTGTTGATCTGTCCGATTCCAGTTAAGTTTCTCACCTAACCATCTCTGTGTTCTTGTCTTTAAGTTGGTAATTTCTTCTTTCACTGCGATTTTCATTTGAATATATCCCTTCACTCATTTCATGAAAGTCTTCATCTTTTCAACTTGTTCATTGCTGGACAGCCAATACAAGGAGTTAGTTGCCACATGCCAAAAGATGTGCAGTAAAACGCACAAGCGAGACGAATACTCTTCTTGTAACACTTTGCGATTTGTGCTCGCTGGTAGCAGTTGAGCTGCTACCAGACCACTTGCCTGCTGTCACTCTGTTCAGTAGGCTGTCCCGTGGAAGGTAAATATGCAGTTAGCAAATCTGGTTCATCCCTAGGTGTCTTTAAGTTGGAGACTACTCTATAAGATGTTGATTCTCCCAAGAGACTTGCTGAAATATATCAAACTCCTTCTCCACTCGCAGCACTGCAGTCTGAACTCCGTCATGCTCTGCAGAGCCCAGGATGAGGGTTGTGCCCAGGCATCACACTAGAGTGGTAGATAGCGTAGTCCAAATTAAGGCGTGTGTCATGGAATTTATCTCCCATCCCGTTGCTTTGGGCTGCAAACTTTTTCTTAATTAAAAACAACCCCTCTCTCTTCCCCATGTTCAAACCATAGCTACATCCTGCCAAGAGCCCTGCAGCCAAGAGGGCTGACAGTCTCCTGAGACCACAACGCTGCTCTATACCAGCTTCTAAGGAGCACTTGTGAACAATGCAGCATACACTCTGCCCCTAGGAGCTAGGAGCATCACCTCCGTGGCGCCACCAACCCTTGCCGGTTCGATCTGAGAGCTTAAAGGTTAGCCTGGAACCCAGGTCTCCTGTCTGACAGTGTGATGTGCTATCCACACAACTACCAGACTGGCCCACTGGTCTGTTGTGTAATAGTTTTGTGGAGAAAACCATAAGTGTTATGCTTAAGCAATAAGTCACTTAAACATAATGAGCTGTTTTATGACGAAAAATTTGCTGAGTTCTTCTGTGTCACTGAATTCTTTTAACTGCAGTTTGTAATCCAGAGCAGAAAAAGAAATGTTTTGGGTTTGCCTGTAAGGTTTGACGGAACTGTCTCTCCCGTTCTTGTGTGTTCAGATCCAAGGTGCTATTATCATGTCCTCCTTGATAGAAGTGGTGATCGGTTTGCTTGGCCTCCCCGGCGCCCTGTTGCGGTATATTGGACCTCTGACCATCACGCCAACTGTTGCTCTCATCGGCCTCTCCGGTTTCCAAGCTGCTGGAGAAAGAGCAGGCAAACACTGGGGTATCGCGATGTTGTAAGTACTCCTGGGTGTTCTTGGCTTAGGCCAGGGGGTCCCAGTGGGTAAGTCGTCATGCAGGAATTTTGGGGCGCCAGGGAAAAGCCAGCGTCTGCTCGGCTGTCAAAGGTAGCAGTGCTCCCAGCACGGAGAAGTACCGTCCACAGGAATGTGACTGGGTCTGGGTAGGGTCAGCTGGCAATTTGGGAATCAGGACAGCAGCAGCTTGAGGAGGCAGGAAAGGACAACGGCTGGAAGTGAGGTGTGGAGAACAGAGAATTTTACAAAACAGTCGTTGGTCTGGGAGCCATTGGCTGGGCCTAATTCAGTGCTATGGAAAAGATGATGTAGCAAAACACCAGAGAGATGAGTGAGCAATTCGTATTTCTACTTCCATGCTGCTGCTGTGTATGTTGCTTATGCTGCAACAGTGAGCAAATACCATTGGTAGTATTGGTCCATGTGTCATTCTTACTGGTTTGCTTACCTGTAGCCAAGAGAAACTTGTATGACGACAGAGAGCATGTGTAATTCCATGAATGCCATCAGTTGATGAGGCCCAGGCAGACAGGTTTCTGTTTGGCAGACAAAGAGGCTTTTCGAGTGAATTTCAGGGCATGATGTGTGTGTGCTTCTTTCCCTGGTCTAGAGGCCAGGGAAATCAAAGAATCGAGATTAGTGGTATGAAAGGGAATAACTGAGGAAAATGAGATGGAGAGGAGACAAAAGCTTCCTCTGAGATGCTGTGGGTAACTGGCCAAATAAGGACAGAAACCATATCTTAGGGAGAAGGAAATTGCCCAAAGCTATATCCAGTGTATAGCGACCAACTTTGTGCTGGCTCTGGAAGCGGAAGGAATGACTTGATGAGATCAGATTTTGATCTGACTAATCTGTTTGCACAGTATTTTGAACATGTAAAGTATCCATAAGTGCAGCTTATGAATAAAAGGGCTGTTTAATTCTCTTTTATCTTGGATGTTAGCGTCGTGAATGTTTTTGTAATTCTATTATGTTAAGCAGCTGACCCAAAGGAACGTTTTATTTTCCTGTAAAACAAATTCTATGCAAGTTGGGACTAATATTAAATCAATCAAACAGACCTTCGGTGAATTGGATGTGGAAACATGTAATTAAAGTTGACATTTTGCAGATGGAAAAAAATAAATCAATTTAGGAACAGGAATTAAATATTACCCAGTCAATAAGTATTTCTGGCTTCTGACACACAAAAATGTGCACTAGATTGTTGAAAATAACTCCATAGCCACCTAGAGCCACTCAAAAGTAACTTGATCTCTACGAGATGTGGCACTTGAAATTGTCATGACTGTTCTGATGAGATAAAAATAATGTATTGCTGTCTAGCACAACAGAATAATAGCTGTGTAAGAGCTATTATCCTCTATTAGCTGCAGATGCTGTTTGACAAGATTTTCAGTTTCCCAAACGGTTTTCTGACCTCGCTTGTTCTGCGGGTGCCAAGCTGAAACAATTTAATCCATAAAACACATCGCATCGTCATCTGTAAAAAGGGAAATTATTCCTGGATTGGTCTTTGCTTGTGTATCTGGTGAACAAAACTGTTTCTTTGGGCATTTAAACATCTGGTAATATTTCACAGAATGGCAGGAAGCTGCCCTGCCATGTAGCCAATTTAATATTACTACATTATTTACAGCTCTGTACTAAATAAATCAAAATACAAAGCCACCTCTCCTCAGGGCTAGCTGGGCAGGATAGCTGCTGTTAGGGAGTGGAGCCCATCTTTCCATAATGGACTTTGGGAGAGATGCCAAAAAGTTCCCTGAATGCAAGGAGAAGGTGCCTCTATCATTGGGCTCTAGTCAGGGGTAAAGGCTATAAATGACACCCTTCTTGTGCAGAGCTCTTTGTTCCTGCAGTTTGAGGGAGAATAAAGCTCTGTTTTGTTTCTTACAGACTGAAACTGATCTTGGACAGAAAAGGGAGGGAGGCTTAAAATCCGCCTTTTTTTTTTTTAAGTCAGCTGATAAAAACATAATCTCAAATTTCAGAAAAGCTTCTTCAGACAACTTGCCTCTTTGTGTAGCCTTTTTATCGCAGAACTGGTTGGGGCTATTTCAGAATTGAGCAAGCTGCCTTGGCTTTTTATTTCTCATTGCAGTGGACACTTACTTTAACTGTAGAGCTGAGTTAATTTTTAACGTATAGAGGAGCTTAGCCGTTTTGACAAAGGAAGGGGAAATGCGTAATACTCGAGGCATCTAAAAACTGTAATAGATTGGGGTACTGGTGAACTGCACTTGAATGGAACCTTGGTTCTTTGGGCTCTGTTTAGCTCGATTTACAGCTGCTTAGTGAAAGATGCACATACAAAACAAAAACTGGGGTTCTGAAGAATTGAAGAAAGAATTTCCCCTGACAGAAATTTTTGAAGTGCTTTAGAGTTTTATGCAAATTTTGAAATGTAAAAAAAATTATTTTATACTGGCCTCCAGTTTTCCTGTTTCTTCCCATTTGCTAGCAGCAACCTTTGTGCTTCCTAGGCAGAGCAGACCTGGACACACAGGTAGAGGTTGAGTCGAAAAGCAGCGCAGCGCCGCTCGTTGCTAATGGCTGCTTAGCTCTGAAGATCTTTCTTTAGTCTGATTCATTTTCCTGGTTTCGTTTACCCGTTTGCTGCTGGCTATTTTGGCAACGCTGGAGAATACAAATGATATTGTTTTGGCTTTCGTGGAATAATAATTTATTTAAAATATGGTCTCTTACGATGCCTTGTCTTGTTCTAAATTGAAAATGAACGTTTGTATTTTGTGTCTGAAGAGCCTGAACAGGTTTGTGCTGAGAAGGATTTTTAACATATTGGTGCTAATGACATGCCTCTCTTGTCCCACCCTCCTCCTTTTTTCTCAGGACTATTTTCCTAGTGTTGTTGTTTTCTCAGTATGCCAGAAATGTCAAATTTCCCTTACCTATTTACAAATCCAAGAAAGGATGGACAGCATACAGGCTGCAGCTTTTCAAGATGTTCCCTGTAAGTAGTTAAACTTGTTCTTCGGTTGGCAGAAAACCCCCTACATTGTGTTTTGGGGTTTTTTGTTTTGTTTTGATTTTTCTCAGTAATACGATAGATCACAAAGGTGAGATAAAAGCTTAAATGGATTTATGGGAAACTTAACTAAATGGCTTATTTGCCACAGAAAAGAGTCTCATATTTTAGTCTTGTCCGATCCCATTCTGGTATCTGTCTCTGATGAAGAGTCCTTGGAGTGATGAAGATCATGGAGGGGAGGGAAGGGAGTAGAGAAGAAGGTATGTTTGTGCATGCAGTGAAAGCCTCAGCTGAACCCTCCAAAAGGGGATGGTGAGATCGTTATCTTGTAGTTTTATGAAAGCAATACTTCATTCCCCCATGCAAAAGACTTCTATTTATTTCTCTGATAAAGCTGAGCCTAATTCACTAGTTCGTTTAAGTGCCCGTTTGGAGGCTTTCCTGTTTGTACGGGGAGAGAAGAGGCTTGTTCTAGTTCTAAAGCTTTTATAACAGCACCTTCTTTAGGGACCGGGGGAAACACCTAACAGATCTATTACAGGATTTACTGCTTGTTCAGACTTAACATTTCACATAAGATCACACTCAAGTACGTGTGTAATAGATATTCTGTGCAGGAACTGTTTGCTGTTGATGAATATTGCCAACGATAGGTTTTTTTAAACAGCTTTTTTTCTCCTCGTTCACAGATTATTTTAGCTATTTTGGTGTCGTGGTTGCTTTGCTTCATCTTCACTGTGACAGACGTCTTTCCCCCTGACAGTTCGAAGTACGGTTTCTACGCTCGCACAGACGCCCGACGAGGAGTGCTGTTGGTAGCTCCGTGGTTCAAGGTTCCTTATCCTTGTAAGTATGTCTGGTTTTAAGGGCTCTTTTTCTAATAATGTGCCTATGAGTATCATTTCTGGTGTTTTCAGAAGCATTGCTGTTTTTCTCTCAGTGCTATATGATGCACTTCAGCATGCACTGATTTGAAGACACTGTAGGTAGGCATGATGGGTTTTTTCCTGTTTTCCTCTTTAATTTGGTGCCTTAATGTCTCGCCCAAGAACGACCAAACCTCTGAAGCTTGAATTTGTAGAAGGCACTTGCAGGGTATATCCAACGGATATATTCAACAGAACTCTTGACTTCTAGTTCCATCGTGTGACTGTACAGATAACATGGCTCTTCAGGGAATGGTTGATCGAGCTGTACTTGTCGATGCTGTGGTCAGCTGCTGGTAGTGTTGTACAATAATAAGGATGGGTTATTACAACTCCTGTAGAGCTGCTGAAGTCTAAAGAATCGGTAGTGTGTGGAGTTTTTTCCAGCTTAATGCACTTCCCTGCCCCAAACACATTTGTTCTTGACTTAGCGTAACGTAACAACCACACAAAAATGTGAATGGGGCCGATGGGCAAGTCAGAGGATGCCAGTCAATGCTTATCAAAGGGCAAAAAAGTATTTACAAGAGCACACAGAACGCTTTACACAGCGTCTTGGATGTTTGTGTGCTTTTGCTGGCCACCTCTAAGTCTAAAGCTGTTAAAGGCCATTTCTTATGGCATGAGATAGAGTTGCACAACTGGTTCCTCCTTGTGCTGCTCAGAAATTAATGGGGTAATAATAGAATAATATTCTACTAGAATAGAATAATAGAAATTGTGAGGAATTCCACTACGTTGTAATGAGGCAGCTTCACTGTGGTTTTCCTTATGCTTTGGTTCTGATTAGTTCTTAAAAGAAACCTCTTCTAAAGCAGTGCTTGCAAGATGTACAATAGAAGCTTTTGGGAGAGAAGAAGAGGAAAACTTCTCCACCCTGATTAGACCTTTCTTATTTGTGAAGCCTTGTTCATTCACATTTGTGTGACTTAAAGTTCCTTTTGTTGCGAGAGGCTCATCTATTTCAAAGAGATAAAAGCATCAAGGCAATTGCTGTGGAAAACCTGCCAAGCTTTTCTACAGGCTTAAATTAATCTTATTTTCTGTTCTACAAAAATTTTGAATTGAAACGTGTTTGTGCAGCGATCATAGCTGGTTGTTGGCCATTCTCTTCGGTAGACTAAACTTGTAACCAAAGACTGAGTTTTTAGAGCAATAATAATTAAGTGGCATTCGCCTCACTGATCAGAATTGTTTTTTCACAAGCAGTAGTAGTTCAAATTCCTTCCTTCTGAACAGGAGGAATTTTTTTGGTGGGGTTTAGGGCTTTTTGGGTTTTTTCCAAGCATGATCAAAGCAGTTGGTTAGGCGGTTTTCCCTTTGCTCCTTTCATCTACTTGAACTTGCCAGACTGTGTTACTGTGAAGGGAGTTTGTTGATTCCATTGAAGATGAATAAACAGTGTGTGGCCAGCAGGAGTAGGGAAGGGACCGT